CGTCGTGGGCATAACTCCTAAGAGACAGCTCACGGATGCCTGGCCCGCTCCGCGCGCTCATCTTTCCAGATTATTTCGAAACACGCGGCGAACCGAGCTCACCCGCCTCCATTTGTTAGCCCAGCGCGGCCATTTTTCTCGCGGATCCATTCGCCTGGATGGTCATTTGTTACTTAAGGTCGATGCCACGAGGCGGTTGTAATAAAAGTTTTGCCCATTGTTGGCACTTCGGCAGAGTTTAGGGGTAGCAGATCGATCGTCCATGGCTTCTGGATGCTATCTGCGAATTTTTAGGAATATCGGGGCTAGTTCGAGCCAACGTGTCGCGACGTTTCTAGAAAAGATAGTGGTGAATGACGACATTCGTTAAGAATCTGAAGGGATATCGCGAGGAATCGATGAACAAACGGCACTATTGGGTTGCCTGGGAAGTTCTTTTGGGTTTCGACGTGTTTTATTACGCAAAAGAGGGAGTTAGTATCAAAAACACGGTGTCGCTCTTAGGAAAAGGCCTGTAATGCACTCTAACGTCGCTAACGAACTGATTCTTTCAAGCCCTAGCACAAAAGTCGTGATCCACCAATCATAGGGCGCTGGTCCTGAAGACATAAACCAGGCCCCCATTGACAATTTGGACCCTCCATGTCGCTAATAAGAGTGTAAACAAAATATTGATTTTCTTTTTCGCATCCACAAATGGATTCCTACAAATCTCGACCCAAAAATTGCACGAATTTTTCCTCAATCTTCAACGTACGGTTTACTACCCTGAGGAAATCTCGTGGGACTCACGTTTCCATTTTCACGAGAACTATACGTGAGTCTAAGAGAAAATAGAGCAGAAGGAGCGTTCGACGAGGATAATCTACGGGTTCTCGGTTTATCGTTGATCTCGGTCCTTAGGGACCGGTGCCAGACTTTGCATTTAGATCTCGTTGGTACGTACGGCCCAAAAGGGCCCACATGACGCTTAACTGCGATGTAAATGAAACGGCACGTAAAACCGGCGTAGCGTTCAACGCGTTAACGTCGAAGAATCTGGCCAAACTAGGAAAACCGCGGCACAAATTATAGACATTCCCGAACTCGACACAAAGTCACGGACACGCGTCAAAGTCGTCCAAACGTGACGAGCTTCGACGAAGTTTTCAGCGGCTCGAGCTGCGCGAGACGATTAAATGGAAGCGTTGATACAAGGCTTCCCTCAAACGAAACTTCTCCTCGAACTTAGCCGAGGTCGATTTATTTCTTCTGGCGTGGATAAACAGGGCGCCGAAAGGCCGCAGGAGCCATCAAAGTCCACGGATACCATGCGCGAGACTCGGCAGAATCTCATTTGCAAGAAGGAGGGCACGCGTCGAGTCAAGAAATTAATTTCCCATCATCTCGCGGCAAGTTCTGACAAGCTTTCCAGCGAGGGACGAAAGGTGTGCTGAACGGAGCCAAACCGGGGAAAATAAAAACGATGACCGAGGGAAAAAGGGTGGAAGACAATGGACGAGGAGGAAGCATCCTCGCCGAAACGGAGAGACGAATGCGAGAGGAATGAAAAAGGTACGAAGAATCCGTCCGATGAAAAGGAACACACGTAACCTCGAAGAAGCAACGCGATTCCTCCTCTAGCTGCGTCACCCATGTTCGGGTGACAGCAAAGTGCTGGAACCCGGATTTCTATATACAATACGGGTTCCAGGGTTCAATCCAATGGCTATAGTAATAGCGTTGATGGCTGTATTCAGTACCGTATTGTCAATTGTCAATATCTCTAGCGATAATTGATTTATCCTTTGATGATTCTAAAATTGCTATAGAATTTAAATCATCAGTGAACAGATTAATGCAACGGCTACAGTTCTGCGTTGATGGCTGTACTCAGTACTGTATTGTCAATTGTCAATATCTCTAGCGATAATTGATCTATCCTTTGATCATTCTAGAATTGCTATTGAATTTAAATTTAAAAGATAACTCTATGTTGGGAAAATACAAGTCGGTGGAGAAGGAAAACACTGGCATTTCGCAAATTTTCTAGGTGCTTATATAATGTTAGCTTTTGGTGGGGTGAAGATGACCATTGGCCCTTAGTGAAAGTAGGAATGAGTCAGTTGTTTTTGGACTCCGAAATTGGTCTGCGTTTATTAGCTAGGCCTCTCTAGTGACTAAGGGCCAACGAATCGTTAGTCATCCAACAAAGGTTTCTCGTCAGGCCGCGTCACCCGTATCTGAGTGACGCTTATTAGACTACTTACAAAGAATCGTCATAGGTATCACACGTGCATTCCATCTGTTGGATCTAGTCCTCGGTAATGTAGTCCATAGTCCTTGTCTTTGATTTATAATTTTTAATCCTCAAGAAGGACG